CCACGTTCTTTCCCCCTCCTCATCTTTTTTTGTTTTCAACATGCAGGCCAAATGGGGTTGACAGTTGATGATATAACTTGGGGGCTTAGCCCGGCGCCAGTGAATCCCATAAAATCACACGCGAAGTTTGTGTGTGTTTGCTTATGGGCTCTGGTCTGAAGAGAGGTTTCCCTGGATTTCAACTTTTAGAGGTGTCCATGAGCCCCAGACAGTTAAAATCACTGGGTTAAATGGTTATTTCTTCTTATAGCCTTTGATATTTTCTCTGACCCTTGATGTAGTATCTTTTCCTTTTCAGTAATCTTTTTTATACTATTTGTTTTACATTAAAAAATTATAAGGAATAAAATTAAATTCACTCATAGTATTAGTCATCACCCAGAGATAACTGCTGTTTATACTCTGGTAGATAGTTACCTATCTGCCTATTTGTCTATAAATCATCTATCTTTCTATTCATTTCCACACACACACACACACACACAGTTTTTTTTTTTAAAATAGGAATCATTCTGTATGCACCCTTCCCACTTTGCTAAATGTAGATCAATAACATTTTTGTTTAATTGCTGCAGAGTAGTCCATTGTATGGATATACTGTCATTTATTTAATGAATTCCCTACAGACAGATGTTTATATTTTAACAGGAATCAAACCTTAGGCAACAGGAGCGGAACAGGAGGAACTTGGGTCTTTTGCTGGTCCCAAGAATTCTCTTCCTTTGTCTGACCTTCCAAGCCCCACATCGAAGGCGAGGCCTGGACTTTGGGTCACAGAACACATTTTCTTTTTCCAAAAGAAAGAACTGTACTCGCAGCTCTTTCCTCTAATCTCCATGGCAGAGATGTGAAGTGCCAAGTCATTTCAAATCAATAAAGAATAGTTTTGGAGGGTCAGTCAACTTCAAAGCAGCTTCATTTTAATCCATTCTCAGGAAAAAGAATCGGAAAAAGAATATATAAATTTATGTATGTATGTATGTATAACTTGATCACTTTGCTGTACATCTGAAACAAACACAGCATTGTAAATCAACTATATTTCAATTTGTTGTTCAGTCCCTAAGTCTGGTCTGACTCTTAGCAACCCCATGGACTGTGGCAGGCCAGGCTTCCCGGTCCTTCATCATTTCCCAGAGTTTGCTCAAATCCATGCCCATTGAGTCATTGATGCTCTCTAACCATCTCATCCTCTGTCGTCCCCTTCTCCTCCTGCCCTCGATCTTTCCCAGCATCAGGGTCTTTTCTAAAGAGTCAGCTCTTTGCATCAGGTGGCCAAAGTATTGGAGCTTCAGCTTCAGCATCAGTCCTTCCAGTCAATATTCATGGTTGATTTCCTTTAGGATTGACAGGTTTGATCTCCTTGCAGTCCATGGGACTCTCAAGAGTCTTCTCCAGCACCACAATTCAAAAGCATCAGTTCTTCAGTGCTCAGCTTTCATTATGGTCCAACTCTCACATCTGTACAGGGCTGCTGGAAAAACCATAGCCTTGACTGTACAGACCTTTGTTGGCCAAGTGATGTCTCTGCTTTTTAATATTTTTTTTAGGTTTGTCATAGGTTTCCTTCCAAGGAGCAAGTGTCTTTTAATTTCATGGCTGCAGTCACCGTCTGCAGTGATTTTGCAGCCCAGGAGAATCTGTCACTGCTTCTACTTTTTCCATTTCTATTTGTCATGAAGTGATGGGACCAGATGCCATGATCTTAGTTTTAAGCCAGCTTTTTCACTTTCTTCTTTCACGTCATCAAATATTTAAAAAAATAAAAAAGAAAGAAAAACAGTTATCAATGGTTCATCCAGTTTGCCTGATATTACGAAAGGACAGGTGAGTGGTAAATTTCCCCCCTCCCACCTGGAACACTTGTTTTAGAAAATGTGCTTTATAAAAAAGAAAATGTGCTTTATTCACTGGTATGGATGCCACTGACATTATAAATGAATGCAAATTTATTAAGATTCCAAATATATTTTCCCCAAATTTGAAGACAGAAACCATAGACAACCTTCATTCATTAAAATAAAAGCATTCATTGAATCACATACTTGTAACCTAAAAGACTAAATTCAGTTCAGTTCAGTTCAGTTGCTCAGTCATGTCCGACTCTTTGCGACCTCATGGACTGCAGCATGCCAGGTCTCCCTGTCCATCACTAACTCCCGGAGTCCACCCAAACCCATGTCCATTGAGTTGGTAATGCCATGCAACCATCTCATCCTCTGTCGTCCCCTTCTCCTCCTGCCCTCAATCTTTCCCAGCATCAGGGTCTTTTCCAATGAGTCAGCTCTTCGAATTAGGTGGCCAAAGTATTGGAGTTTCAGCTTCATCATCAGTCCTTCCAATGAACACCCAGGCCTGATCTCCTTTAGGACGGACTGGTTGAATCTCCTTGCAGTCCAAAGGACCCTCAAGAGTCTTCTCCAACACCACAGTTCAAAAGCATCAATTCTTCAGCGCTCAGCTTTCTTTATAGTCCAACTCTCACATCCATACATGACTACTGGAAAAACCATAGCCTTGACTAGACAAACCTTTGTTGATAAAGTAATGTCTCTGCTTTTTAATATGCTTAAGCAGTCATTGAATCACACACTTGTAACCTAAAAGACTAAACTCAGTAGCCCTTAAAAGATGGCCAGTTTAGTCTCTATCTTGTTGGCAGCTAAAGAGCCACAGCAGACACCATGAATTAAAATAGAAAATTCAAATTAAATAAAGCAGCCAGATAAGGCTAAAAAGATATAGAAAAGAATTTCTGTATTGTTGAGTGTATATGTCTGAAATTTAAAAAGTGAATTAAAAGGTAATTCTCAGAATATGAAGCATGTAAATGATTAAAAAAAAAAAATCCGTTCTCAGTTTCCAAGGTTCACATGGGCCTAATTTTGTGTAGTTTACCTTATATTTAAAGAGTGTTCATGAAGATTGTTGTGGGGAAAACCAAAATGCTTTGATGGTTGAAACACTCAAGTCCTGCAGCCTGGGGAGACTTGGCTGTGTGCAGACCAGCGTGCTTTCCCTCCATCTGCGTGTGTATTTCCCTGTGCTGTTGAAAGAGGTGCTGCTGATTGCCTTGTCTTCCTCTTACCCTTTCACCAAGGACACGTCCAGCTTAGAGGCTGCACCAGTCAAACACCCTCGGGCCCAGGGTCGTAAGTGTTCCCATCTGGCTGGGTGATGAGTGGTGTTTATGTCATGGCATAAATCACGTTTTGCTCTTCCATTAGCTGAGACTCTAATCATTAAAAAAATTTACTTCATCTACAAAAATCAATAATAGGAGTTTTTTGGATGGTGGCGGTCCTTTAACCATTTTTTCCCCAAGTCTGTCTATAAACAATCAAATGACTACCCTCACTGGAAGAGTGCGTGAAACGAGAAATACAAGCCCACAGATAAAAGACCTTTCCTAAGGACAGGTAGGAAGCTAGTTTAAAGAAGACAGAAGGCAACCAAGGAACGCCGTTACCCTTTTGAAAGTCTTTAAGAATGCCATCCTTTTTCATGGACCTACATGGACCTACAGCATCACAGCCTTATAGAGCTCAAGACAAATTTTCAGAAAAACATGGAAAATAAAGTAAGTTGATAGTAGCATCCTGTGGCTGACTTAATGCCTCCTCACAACTCTGTGGACTTCAGTGAATACAGAAAATCAGTGGTATTTATTTATTTGCCTGGAACACGATTTCCACTAAGAAAACACACAAAATCTAAATAAATTGATACTTAGCCAAAGCGATGCATTTCATGTAAAATGGAAAACTGCTTTTGAGGGGAAAGAGTAAAGCCAAAGAGAAATCTTAGACACTTTTCAGGAAATAGTACGTTTGCTTTTAAAATGATGGTGTTGCGTCAGGACCTCACGTTGGTCACGGCTAATCAGGAGGTCAGATCCTGATTCACTTCTGGTTTATCCCGCAAGCTTTGGGAGGTTGTCACACAGCCGGCTTTTTTTTTTTTTTCTTTCCCCCCCATGGATGCTTTATCTTGTTTATAACCGTGTTCACAGCACAGTCAGCAGCCTCCTTTAGATGGTAAATGAGTGGCTCACTAAATTATCACAAACTTAACCCAACCAAAGAGGCAGGGCTAATGACTGGTGCCTTTTCCCTGCGGGGCAAAGAGAGCCGGCCACGCCCTGCGCCCGGCTCCTGGAGGGAGGACCGAGCTCAGGCCACGCACGCGGTCCGAGAGCGGTGTCTCCGGTTTCCTCGTGTGATGACGGGGCGGGCCGGGGAGCTCTTCCCCCTCCCCACCCGCATCCCTCCGTCTCCATCGCTGGCAGCTGTTCCTCTGCTCGAAGTTTATATGATCTCGAGAGCTCTAAACCGCGCTCAGACGTTTGTTTACTGGTGCTGCCTTTGGCTTCTGCAAACAGCCTTTTGTGCCCTCCAGGTCTGCAGAAAAGGCTCTTCTCAGAATCAGCCCCTCCTCCCTCCTTCCTCCAGAAGAGCCTGGGAACTAGCTTCAAGCTCAGGAAGAAAAATGAACTGAGAAGGACGAGGGGCTCAAACCTGGTCGGAGGGGAGACTCGGAGGGGAAGCGGAAAGGAGTCAGGACTCAGCATCCTGCGTTTGTGCTTTGTGTTTGCAACTTGGAGCGAGTTGCATTAATGAATTAAGCAGCAGCTCGTAATGGAAAATCTCGGTCCCGGCCTGGTGGGGGAGCCAGATACTATAGATTTGTAACAGGAAGGCTGTGGATTCTGGCTTCATTGTTGGGCCAGTCATCTGTGAGCTGGTGGCCGGACCACAGGCCACACACTTGGGTGCCCATCTTCCTGGACCCGGAGCTGCCCAGCCCTTCTGGCTGGGGTTGGAGCCGGGACCCGGGGAAGATGGTGAGCGCCGGGGTCGGCCCTGGGACGGGTCCCCCGCCGCGCGGAGGGGGGTGCGGGACGGCGGACTCCCTTTGGGGGCAGGGAGGGGGCTGCTGAAATGGACGCGCTGACGCGAGTGCCCTGCCGTTGATGCTTTTCTCTGTGTCATCCCCTGTAGAGCTCCGGGAACGCGTCCTATCGATGCTCTATGTCTTCCTCTGCGGATTTTTCCGACGAAGATGATTTCAGCCAGAAATCTGGCTCTGCATCTCCAGCTCCTGGAGACACCTTACCCTGGAATTTGCCTAAACATGAGCGATCGAAAAGAAAGATCCACGGGGGCTCCGTGCTGGACCCTGCGGAGAGGGCAGTGCTTAGAATCGCAGGTAAGAACGAGCGGTGGGGGGCCCGGCTGGGGGGTGCGGAGAGGTGGAAATTCACCCACCAGCTCCCCGGGGGCCCTGTCTGGCTGGGAGCTGAGGCTTAAGGTGGGAGGTGGGGCGGGGGGAGGATGACCATGTTTACTTTCTGTCCCGATTTTATCGAAGGAGCAATTGGCTCTGTCTGCTAGTGACTAAGCTGTTTGGCCCTGTCTTCTGGTTGGAGGAACCGATATCTTTGAAACCAAGATGATATTTACAGGCATCTGCATTGAAGTTTCCTATTTATGTGCAGTCGCCACCGTGACAGTCTGAAAGTATTAACTCAGTGTTTCCCAGTGTGTTTGCTGGAAGCTTCGTTTTCCTCTTTGCCCAGGAGCTCCGGGCCACCAGATTTATCAGGGGCCTAGATTCCTGGGTTATGGTACCCAAGATTGCATAGGGCTCTCTACAGTCCATTTTTTTTTTTTTTTTTTAAAGCGTAGCATCTCTATTAGCATCATGTGTTCATGGCAGCTCCTGCCTTTGGTGCTTTTGAGGGTTTAGCCGCCATGCATCCCTGATTAATTAATACATGGGAGGGAACGGTGTTTCTCTTCTGTTACCTGGTGTTCCCTTGCACTGCCCGAAGGTCCCAGAAGGGATGGCTTGTTTCACTCAGCTGCAAGCTGAGCCTGCTGTGGAAATCTATCCCCCCGCCTGCAGGGCCCGTGTGGTTTGTGTATATATGAGCTATGCTTTTTGAGGTGGTTGTTACCTAATTTTTTTCTCAGAAATGGCAATGGGGTAGGTTGGGGTGTGTCCTGGGGGGGTTCTCTTGCAAAGGCCAAAGGCGAGGTGTTTACCAGAGTTGATTTTTACGGTGGATTGGGCCTCTGCCCCCTCCCCCTCTCTCCCTCCCAGGCCCCTGCCCACTCAGTTTCTCTTGCTTCCCACCATCATGCAGAGCTGGGACTTGTCTTCCTCCTAAGAGGCTGCAGGGGACCAGCTCAGATCCTGGCCGAGAGTCCCCTGAGGGCCCCCCCAGTGGGATTTTCTGATTACGGGAAAAATAAACAGCGCCCAGCCAGCCATTCTCTCATCTGGGTTTCTGGGGCAACAGCCTTGAGCTTCTTCTGGCTTCTTTTGTGAGATGCTGGCTGGTCTCACCCAGGCCTTTGACATGCAGGGTGGAGGCGCGCAGGGCAGGGAGGATGGAGACAGTTTGGGAGCCAAGGGAGAGCAAGCAGAGTGGCCCGGGGCTCGCGGAGGGCTGGGCGGACACCAGAGGGTCTGGTCACCAGGGCCGGATTCCCTGCCCGGTCATGACATCCCCAGGGGGCGGGACAGTGCCGGAACCAGGGTACCAGATACTCGTCTCAGCAGAAAGGGAAGACCATGACAGGTGGTGCTCTGTGGCAAGCCTGGGTCTCCAACGCAGGACACCTGGATGGCGGAAGGTGCTCCTGGGCTGAGAGTTTTGATAGATGTGGCAGAGATGGGCATTTTGCTTTTGGTGGTGAAGGAGGGGCTAGGAGAGAAGGAAGGGCGCTTGTCTGTCAGGGGGATGAGATTACATAAACTACTAGACAGGCAGCCAGCAGAGTCTGGCGGTAGTAGCGGTGGTGTGTACGGCCAGTGGGGAACGGAGGACCTGGGGGTTCTGATGGGGTGCAGTGGAAAAGTGGACGCTGGGGTCAGGGGAGCCTCGGCTCTGTGAGGGCGAGGCCACGCCTTACTTATTGTAAAGGGTTTGCTATGAAGTTAGCGGTAGTTGATGCACTGAAGACCTCCAAGTTACAGACTTTTCAGATTACATGAGTTCTTCAAAAATAGAACAAGACAAAATAAAACAACAGACAGAATAAGTGGCTCTAGCATGGATGTGTACTAATGACCATGTTTAAAGTGAATACTGGTAAATTGGCTATTGCACACAGATCACATCCATCTTCATACGTGGAGCATAGGCTGAGGGGTCAGTCTCCAAACACCTGTTTCATCATCACCTAACCTATGAAGTTCAGGTATATCATGACACAGCATCCAGGGTAAGGGGACAGGTCATCTGAGGGGATGTGGTACAGTGGAGAGCTGGAAAACATATCATTCATATTTCAACTTCTCATTTTATTAGGCATTTTCACACTTGGCCTGAAATCTAACCTGTCTGTGAAGTTCATCCCCAGTAAGAGATAGGGCAAGGGTCAGAAACGGTGTGGGGATGTCTGCTGTGTTCATTATTTAGTAATAATGGAATTGAAAGTTGGACATGGTTATTGTGTTTAAGGTTGTAAAAATAGAATGGAATGAGGAAATGTCTCGAGTGGAGAAGACCATATGGTTTGGGGGATCCCGTTAGTCACTCACGTTCAATACATGTTTATTACGCTTCTGGGATACAATGAAGGTGCGCACTTGGTTCTGCCTTGAAAGCAGTTCTAACCTCACACGGCGCGAGTGAGAGGCCAGCTGTGACCGCTCTGAGGGCCGGGATGAGGAGATCCCAGAGGGAGACTCTGATTACCACGGACTGAGAGGAGGCCGGGCAGCTTCTTGAAGGGCTTCCGGGGGGCTCGCTGCGGGAGGGGAGGTTTCCTGAGCCTGATGGACTGGTGCAAACTGGAGGTCACTTCCGTGGGATGGAGCTGCAGACACACAGCACAGAGGTGGGTTCAGATGGAAACTGCAAGTCATCTGTGCAGTGGGAGCCTGGGATTTGTAGGGAAGAGTGGGAACTGTTAGGATGCTTGGGGCAATTCTGCGGAGACTGGACTATTTAGCTGTCAGTGGTGGGGAATCACTTGCGGATGTAAAAAGCAGTGTGATGAGATAATTAGATGTACATTTCCTGGCGATGGTGTCACATGTCTGATCTTTGTCATTTGAAAGTGATTCTGCATTTATCGCAGTGTCTTCATGTTGAAATCTGAGCCTGTCTTGCCATGTATGCTCTCCTCGTCTCTCAGGGTCAAGGTGAGAACGGCATGGAAACGTGGAAGGAAAGGGGCTTTGTTTCCTTTAGCATCGTAACAGGCATATCTGCTGTTTTTACCTGCAGGACATCATAAGCTGTTTTTCAGTCTTGAAGTGCTTGTGAAGGTACATGGTTTGTTAGTGACGATGCTATTTTAAACCATGGATATTTGTCCCACATGAATTCTTTGAAGTGAAGAATTGAGAGATCTTGGCAGAGTCAGACTTTGGATTTTAATTCCTCCTCTATCACAAATTGGTTGTGTTTTCTTGGACAATTTACTGAACATTTACTTCTCACCTTCATTTTGTCTATCCAAGGATCATGGCTATGGTGAATAAAGTAGTAAATGCAAAACATTTTGTGAATTCCCTGACACATGGTAAATGCTCTATGAATGAGGGCTGACTGATGGCCCTATGCTCTCATAAGCACCTGATGAAAAGTAAAGTGAAAGTTGCTCAGTCATGTCTGACTCTTTGTATATACAGTCCATGGGATTCTCCAGGCCAGAATACTGGAGTGGATAGCCTTTCCCTTCTCCAGGGGATCTTCTCAACCCAGGGATTGAACCCAGGTCTCTCACATGGCGGGCAGATATTTTAGCCGCTGAGTCACAAGGGAAGCCCATATGTTATCTCATTCAGGTTTCTGGACAATTTTGTGAAGTAGGCACTGTTATTTTCAGGGCTTCCCAGGTAGTTCAGTTCAGTTCAGTTGCTCAGTCGTGTCTGACTCTTTGCGACCCCAGAATTGCAGCACGCCAGGCCTCCCTGTCCATCACAAACTCCCGGAGTTTACTCAAACCCATGCCCATCGAGTCAGTGATGCCATCCAGCCATCTCATCCTCTGTCGTCCCCTTCTCCTCCTGTCCCCAATCTCTCCCAGCATCAGGGTCTTTTCCAATGAGTCAGCTCCTCGCATGAGGTGGCCAAAGTATTGGAGTTTCGGCTTCAGCATCAGTCCTTCCAATGAACACCTAGGACTTATCTCCCAGGTAGCACAGTGGTAAAGAATCTGCCTGCCAATGCAGGAGACCCAAAAGACACGGGCTCGATCCCTGGATCAGGAATATCCCCTGGAGGAGGAAATGGCAACCCACTCCAGTATTCTTGCCTGAAAAATTCCATGGACAGAGGAGCCTGGAGGGCTACAGTCCATTGGATTGCAAAGAGTTGGACATGACTGAGCACACACACTCTTATCTTCTCCATTTTTTTCAGCCCAGAAATCTGCCAAAAGAGGAGAGGCTCTTCCCGAGGTATTAGGAGGTGGTGGAGCTAGGATCTGAGTTCAGGACATCTTGACTCGAGGGACCCAGCTTTAAACTGCTATGCTTTTGCTGCTTCCTTGTGGAATACACTAAGATTATTAGCAGCTTGATCCTTGATTATCATTCCAGGAATATACATTTACCCCAGTGACTGCCAATGCTGCTTCTTCCTTTTGACTAGTTCCTTAAATGAACAGTTAAAAATCACTTAAGTATGCAGTGATTATATTCACAAAACTGGGTGCCTGTGAAAGTCGCTTAGTCGTGTCCCACTCTTTGCGACCCCATGGACTGTATAGGGACTGAATTCTCCAGGCCAGAATAGTGGAGTGGGTGGCCTTTCCCTTCTCCAGGGGATCTTCCCAACCCAGGTCTCCCGCATTGCAGGCGGATTTTTTACCAGCTGAGGCACAAGGGAGCCCAAGAATACTAGAGTGGGTAGCCTATCCCTTCTCCAGCGGATCTTCTTGACCCAGAATTCAAACTGGGGTCTCCTGCGTTGCAGGCAGATTCTTTACCAACTGAGCTATCAGGGAAGCTACTGGGTATCAATTTCTGATTAAGGCTCAGACCTCAATGACCTTACTCATTGGGAGGGAGACAAGACAGTTAACAAAAAAATTTTTTTAATTGAAGTATAATTGATTTACAATGTTGTGTTAATTTCTGTTATACAGCAGCAGTGATTCAGTTATATATATATATGTATATATATATTCTTTTTTTCATGTTTTTTTCCATCATGGTTATCACAGGATACTGTATACTATGCTATA